TTTAAGCATTAGACAACCCACTGCTCGAACTGAGGGGGAGTGTTAGTCTATTATTTATTGTGTATTGTATAGTTATTTATTCTCATATAGTATAGGGGTCTTTTATGTAAATGTACTAGTGGTTGTATATTTAAAGGTATGGAATACATACAAACCCTAACATGGTATTCTCACTATTCAACATAGTATCGAGCCTATGATTTTTTTTCGGTGCCTACTACTTCCTACACAAAGTCGACGCCTCATGTTCTTGTCCATGGCTGACTCGTCGATCATCACAACAACTACTATTTGAGTTCTTCTTTCTTAGGATACAACCCATTGCCATCCTCCTTGATTAGGGTTGTCACGCAAGAAGACCTACTACCAATTTTTGATCTTCAAGTCTTCCTATTTCCGCAGCCATCATAGCATCCCCCTCACGTGTGTAGTACAATTTACATTGCTATAATTCTTCAACTCGTGGTAAGTGCCTTGATCTTTATTTTTGTTTTTTCTGTCATTTTTAAATTTATTATTTGGTATCATGTCCTCCACCCCTACATCCTCATCTACTACTGTACTTACTGCCCAACAACTTGTCTACACGGTTACGAATGTTTACAATCAGTTTAGTTTTAAAATAACAATAGATGGATCCAAGTATAAGTTATGGTGCAAAATTTTTTCAAGACATTTGCAAGGGTGCTAAGGTCCTTGGCCACATAACAATCCAAACCAACAAGTGAAGAAAATGAAGATTGGGAGTCTGTTGATTCAAGAGTCAAGTCATGGTTCTATTCCACTTGTAACTCGAACCTACTCCAAATTATCTCGAATGATAATTGCACCGCCAAAGACCTATGGGATAATCTCCATGAATTATGTCTTAATAACAAGATGTCTCGCACTATGCAATAGTGTCGATCTCCCTCCCCCAAGGCTTTAAAACACAGCCATTCGGGATAGGTATCCACACTATTATAAGGAGTGATGAGTTCTCTCCCTCCCCCCCTCCTAATTCATGGTGGGTCCAAAAGTTCAACCCCGTGAGATTAATGTGTGGAAACTTACGTCAAGTTCAGTAAGAGTCATTGGTGGACCATATGTACAGAGAATGTTGGTGGCGATTGAGTTTACAAAGACGGATATGATCGAAATTTGGGATTGTGGATATACCTAACACACATGCTCGTATAGAATTGAAATAAGATTTATACGTAGTAAATTTCGTTTATATGGAATTACAAACATTTATATTTATACTATATGAGACTTATAAGTATATACTTATTTGGTAAGTAAACCATTATACCTAGGATATATATACTAAACGTTGGAGAGTCAAAATAATACTTTCAAAACTATACTTTTGAACGTGGAAAATGTGTTATTTTATGGAGTCAAAACCTGTGGACTCACCAACTTTATGTTGACGTATTTTAAAATGCATGTGTTTTCAGGAACTTGAAAAGCTGGTATGTATTCGAACAGAAGAAGTTTTACTATTACCTTTCTGTTCATTAAGAAGTATGCCATAGTCGGATATTATGTAATAGGTCCTAGAAAAACAGTTATGTAACTTTCAGTTATCAATAAAGGTATGTATTTTCTTTAGTACTGTTCAATGTATGTTATATAACTGTGATACGAAGAATGACGTTACACCACCCGGTGTTTCCGCCGATGGCTGGGGTGTGACAAAGGAAATCAAGAAAGCTAGTTGTGGACAACATTAATGAAGTTTTTAAAGACGACGAGGTTGCGAAATCTTTAGAAGAGGCGATAAACAATGGAGGTGGAAAAAGTAAACAACCAATCAATATTCCCGAATAGTTAATTCTTGTTTGACAAATGTTATTTTGGATATGGTTAAGAACTTAAGATTCATATTTTATTTTGGTTGTTGAATGTTTAATGTTTAACTTATATGGATTTTTGGGTGTTTAATGTTTAGTATGTTGCTTCATAACTATATCTCAAGTTTTTGGTGTTTGGATTTTACATTCTTATATCTCAAGAATAGTTAATTCATGTTTACATTTTTACTACACAAAAATAGTTAATTCGTGTTTACATTCTTACTACATAAATTCTAACTTTTTTTTTTTTGCACATTAGAAACAATTATGTATACTTTGCATTATTTTTAATTAACAAATTTGTTTCTTTAAAAGATTTGTTTTGGAATCATAACTTATGATTTATAAGCTACAAAAGTCATACAAAATACAATGTTTATAATCATATTATAAATGTTGTTCAGGTTATAGAATCCTTATGCGGTTTATTAGGTTCTAAATCATCTTGTGCATGTTATTCGCGTTATTCGAGTCACAACCGAATCGAACCGATTAATACCCGAACCGAACCGAACCCGTATTGTTTATTTGATCCGGGTTTCGGTTCATGCAATTATCCTTATTCGGTTTTCAGGTTATTCGGATTCTCCGGTTCCGACCCGAATAACATCCCTATGCTTTAATCTCATATACAAGCTTAAACAAGTTTACAATGTTAGAAAATATGTTTTCATAATTAGTAAAACTAAAAGAAAAGAATTTATTTTATAACTAAGGAGAGTTGCTGTGGCGGAGACAACAGGGGGACATGCCGGTGCTGCGCCCCCCCCTAATTCTCATCTCATTTTAATGGGGTATTTTACCAACAAAGCAAGTTAGAGCCATATTGGATGTAGTGAAAAGCCCCAAGAGCCCCCTTCAACTATGAGTATAATACTTGTTAATCCCTCTAGCCTACATACTAAATCGGCGGCGATTAACAAAAACCTATTGTGACTTTTCATTTAGATTTAAGAATCTTTGCTCCTACAATTGCTCTCCAAAGTTCAAATATCATATTCAATAAGAAGGTTAGTTTAATTCTAATTATATATCGTATTTAGTTTTTTTTTTTTTTTTGTAATTTGTATTTGATAATTTTATTACGATTGGTAATTTAATTTTTTTTTTTTGTAATTTGTATTTGATAATTTTATTACGATTGGTAATTTAATTTCTTACAATTATAGGATAAATCATCTTGTGCATGTTATTCGCGTTATTCAATAAAAACAAAATGTTCATGAACCACAGTTATATAATGTAAATGATAATATTAGGTATAATGTTCATAATACTGAAAAATGTTCATAATACATGCCTTGATAATTAAGGAGCCAATTATATGCTAAATCATAAGCCCTCGTTATTTTAAAATTCTGGCTCCACCCTGGAGAGTTGTATTTTAGATCAGTAGATTATATACCAATTTAAACGGCTCCAATTACATTTTAAATAGATCAAAGAGTTGGGAGACATACCACATTATCAAATTTTTTAAACGTTTCATATATTACTTTTTTTACAATTTACTAATTTTGCAATAAAATAAATTTTAACATGAAACCGTGTTTTATCAATATTCATATATCTAATGATATAACACTAGTTAAATATTTATTTATGTAATAATGTCTCACGGTGTATGCAACAGTATTCATTTTATTCAATTTATGTTACAACTTACAATATATCATTTGCTTATCAATTTACGTAAGGTTAAATAGGTAATGCATGATGTACTTTTTTGGTACTAAAATAAAACGTCGTGTATACTCGGTATAAAAACAATTTTGTTACATAATTCAAAAAAATATAAAACATATTACCTGTATACACATTGTTAATTAATTTTATAAATACTTAATTACTTTTTTTTAAAATAGTGTCTGAAACAATGATAGAACACATTGACTTTTTTAAGTATTTCATTTTGTAGGAATAATATTCCAGTAATATACGAAAACAAACAAGAAAATAAAAAAACTGAGGCATGTGTTTAACACATTGTCCTTAAAACAAATTCGTTCGATACCGGGTGTTTGTTTCTCATGATACAACAGTTTGAAGTGGTTCTTCTAGACCACTCAAACCCTCAATAGGCTTGGATTACATCCTTAATATAACTAGAAAAAGAAGAAGATGAAGTGGGGAAGAAGAGAGTTTTCTTGCATTCTTTTTTGTCTTCAAATGGTTATAGAGTAATGGTATTTATACTACACATTCTATAACCTCTCATTTAAACACATTTATTAATCATAAAGATTAATGTGTGTTAATATGTAATTAAATTGTAATATTAATTACAATTTCAGTTACGAAAGAAAGAAATATTTGCAAAAAAGGTTTATGAACTTTTCTTTTCTTTCTTCTATCCATTAAACTCTTTTATTTACTTCTTCCAACACATTATTTTAAATATTAATTTCTCATTCATATTAAATCTATTTTGAAAGTATTAAAAAAATAAGGAAAACCATTTTTATAAATCGGTTATCACCAATTTTCCAACACGTTTTTCCAATATACATACATTTATAAAATAAAATGATGATTATTCCGAATTGGTCCCTTATGTACACCTTATTAAGCACAATTTACAACATATATATATCATGTATGCTTTATTCGTAGCACCATGGGCGCGCGAACGTAACAAACTAACTGTTTATTTGCTGACGTTGCACTCCGTAATCTTTTTACCCTGCCTATCGTTCTCTGCAACTCACCGCCATTCCATCTCTCCCTCTCTCTCTCTCTCAACACTCTCTCACTAAATGACAGTTTTACAGAGAACAGGCACTTCGAAGATAGATCGAGAACCCTAATTTTCTTTAATGGTTTCTTCGATTGGTTTCATATTCATAGGTTTATGCTTTTGATGGATATACTGGTCGTACGTTTTTGTTTATCTCTTAGAACAGTGAATATTTTGTATCAAATGATCTAAATCGTGTGCGAATTGTGGATTTTTATGAGAATATTTGATTGCAAAGTGGTTAACTGATGCTTTTCTCGTTTTTAACATAAATCGCGCAGTTGATTTATCGTGCAGTTAAGTATAAATCACATTTTGATTCTTATAAGTGAAATACGCTCTTTATAATCATGTTCTTTGATGTTTTCAGGCGGTTTTGAAGAAGTATTTGGCTAATTTGTCTACCGAGATAACTTTCAACAATGACTTGTCGCTTTAGATGCTTGTACTTCAATGTGTTTGCGTTGTTGGTGTTTCTGGTGCCACAGGGTTCAACGCATACTGATAATTCCGATGGTATCTTCTCGATTCTCAGAGACTTCTTCTGATTTGTATGTTCTCTTAGTGAATTATCAACTGAATTTCTGTTACGAACCCTAGTTTCATTTTCTTCCAAGTTACAGTACAGTCTATGAACTTCTTCTCTTGATGATGAATTACAGAGATTTGATTTCTTATTGTGAACCACTGCAACTTTTCATGTTTATAGGATTTAGGGTTTATCGTTCTTTGGAGAGAATGACAGCAGTCAAAATTTGATTTCAGCCTTTGATTAAAGTTCGTACTACAGTGAAAACGTTTGATTTTGGCTTTTTTCTACAGTTTGTGTTATATTGAATGATGTTGGTGTATCTATGTAATGCATACCCCACAGCAGCAATTGCAAGAACTACTTGATAGCCTAGGAATTAATCCTAATCAAAGCACAGTATCTAATACTCTTTGTGCAATCTCTACAGTTAGAGCTCTACAAGATCTGTATAGGTCTTTTAATACGCCACCTCAGCTCAAAGGATGGAAATCAAATGGTGGTGATCCATGTCAAGAATCATGGACTGGAATTTCCTGTGCTGGTTCTTCAATCATCCAAATGTAAACTTTAAGTATTTCCTCCATTCAGTTTAATCCCACAATTTCAAAGAGTCACTTTTATGGCATTGCAAACAGAGTATACTTTCTTGATAATTTACAATGAACTTACCTTCCTTCACTTTACTTACAGTAAACTTGACAACCTAAACATCACTGGAAACCTTGGTTATCAGCTCAATAATTTCCATCACTTGAAGCAACTGTAAGTGCTTTTGATCATGCAATTGTAAATCATGATGCATTTTATTGTGCAAATATATCCAACCTTCTAAAGTGAGGTGCTTTCTATACTAGGGATGTGAGCAACAACAACATTTATGGTGAAATTCCATACGGTCTACCTTTGAATCTAACTCATTTGTAAGATTCACTGAACTCTGTTACAAATATTTTGTATATAAAATTACTCATTCCATGAACCTAAAATTCAATGAATGCAGAAATTTGGCTTGCAACAACTTAAGTCAATACATACCTTACTCAATCTCTTCCATGAAAAATCTTCGACACATGTAAGTTATCCCCCCTCCCCTTAATTTTTCCATCACTTAACAATCACATGATCATAATCTTTCTCCCTTGCAGGAATTTGAGCCACAATTTTTTGTCAGGGCCTGTTGGGAATGTATTTACAGGCTTATCATGTCTCAAAGAAATGTATGCATGATATGAAGTTTTCTCACTATGAATCAGAACACTTGCATACATGTTTGACTCTTATTGACTTCTTTCACAGGGACCTCTCATACAACCAATTTATCGGAGACCTACCAAGTTCATTTGGAACACTGAGAGGCCTATCAAGACTGTGAGTTTACCTTCCAATTGACTAATATTTACACTTATGCCATCTTTATTAGTTCTATTGATTGTTGGAATAGAATGAATCTTGCAGGTTCTTGCAGCATAATGAATTCACAGGGTCAGTCATCTTTCTAGCAGACCTTCAACTAACGGATCTGTAAGTCCTTTTTTGACATCTTTCTATAGTTCTTTTTCTTTTCATGATGCTGAATATAAAAATACACACAATTTCAGGAACATACAAGATAACCATTTCAGTGGAATCATTCCAAAACAATTCCAAACTATACACAATCTATGGTTTGGAGGTAATATGTTTGATAAAGGGGACAACAGTCCACCATGGGATTTCCCCATGGAAAATCCAAATGAGCAGCAAAACAATACTTCTCCACCATCTACAGAGTCATCAAGTGCAGTCAAGAGTTATCCTTTGACTGAGCCTGTCAACCACAAGAAGAAAAAATCAGGCCACATGGTCATTTTTTATGGTGTAGGTGCTCTTATGGCAGCATGTTTAGTAATCTTCATTGTGATTCGCTTGCGTAATCATTCTAGAAAGCTTAGAAGACCAGCCAGCAGTGAAGGGTCACAACCCTCTCTTCCAGTCAGTATGCCCAGAGGCAAGTCAAATTTAATCTTTGTTCAAATCATAAATGTGTTTCTGTTATCTTCTTTTTTATTTTTTAATCAAAAAATTTGTGTTACAGATTGTTCATCTACAGCTCTTGATGAGAGCCCAGAAGTGTCAGTTATCAGCTCACCCACCACTGGCCCAAGGCATGCAGCTCCTGTTCGTACAAAAGTTGTGAGAGTGAATAGAAGAAGAAGTTTTGCTAAAAAGAGTAGAATGCCAATTGGTGCAACTTTATACACAGTGGCAGAATTGCAATTAGCAACAAATAGCTTTGATCGAAGTAATTTCCTAGGAGAAGGCTCTCTCGGATCTGTGTACAAAGCAGAGTTTCCTGATGGACAAGTAATCAACTACATTCTGAATCAATTTACAAAGTTTTGTAACAGAGTATTGATCATAATTGTAGACATGATGATTGTTTTTTGTGTTTTAGGTGTTTGCAGTGAAGTGTATAAACACGGTGGCATTATCTCTTCACGAAGAACAGCAGTTTTTGGAGGTGATTTGGAATGCATCGCGTGTAAGACATCCAAACATCATACAGCTTCATGGATACTGTGTAGAACAAGGGCAGCATATGCTTGTGTATGAATATGTAAGAAATCTGTCTCTTGATTATGCTTTGCATTCGGAAGCATACATGCCTTTATCTTGGGGGCTTCGTCTTCGAATCGCTCTTGGAATCGCTCGAGCTTTGAAGTAAGCATATCACAATTTTCAATTTTCCTTTTTTCTCTAGGGTTTGATTCCGTAATTTTGAATGTCAATTTCGTTGCTGTTTAATTCAGCTACTTGCATACGACATGTGCGCCTCCTTTAGCTCACAGAAATTTGAAGGCTGCTAATGTTTTACTTGATGAAGATCTAACGCCTCGGATCTCCGACTGCTATCTCGCTGTTTTGAAGCCCCTAACAATCAGCAGTGCTAGAGCTCAGGTACGCTCGCACAACAATTTATTTATTTATTTATATTTTCTGATTGTGTTGCTTAATGATGATGATTTAATTAGGCTTCAGAGACTGATACTGGTGGCATTTCTTATGAACACACAAAACCTGGAACTGGTAACCAAAAGGACGACGTTTATGCGTTTGGAGTGCTGCTTTTGGAGATTTTGACTGGAAGGAAGCCGTTCGATGGGTACGTTACATTCATCTTCGTCTTTTTCCGTTGAGATCTGTTGTGATTTTTTTTTGAAAAAACAGAGATCCACTGAGAGACGAGAGTTCGCTAGTGCAATGGGCTTCTTCCCGGCTTCATGACAGTGAATCGTTGGATGAAATGGTTGAAGCAGGCATCAGGAAGACAATTCCCCCAAAGGTTCTGTCGCGATTTGCTGATATTGTGTCGCTTTGTACTCAGGTATTGGCTTATGCATGTATCATGTATGATTATGAAGATGAAGTGAAAGGAATTGATTTGTTTGTAAAAGACAGTTGATGATTGTTGTTAACAGGCGGAGAGGGGATTCAGACGTTCGATGACGGAAATCATGGAGTCACTGGGGCAAATGCTGGAAGAGTACCGGAGAATGAGAACGGGGGTGGATACTGATTTTGATCCGTATGAGAGGTCTTTCCGATCAACAAACTCACGCTTCATTGGATCACCAACAGTGAGCTATATGTCTATCTGAATCTGATCGATGATGAATCATTTGATCACTTCCTTTTACATGTGTTACTGTTACCATGGTTATGTTCCAACAAGTCATCATATATGATTGTCAAAACTCAAAACTCAAAAAGATTTTGCTCTAATAGGGAAATACTATATTTTTTTGAATGTATCAAGTCAACTTCAATAATTTGTAAAGGGAAAACATAAACGTAAAAAAAAACAATCAATCTCTCAAGAAATATTTTTTCCTTAATCTTTTTATGTTTATAACATTTTTTTTACATGATGCAAAAACTCGTATTTGTGTATTCTTACAAAAATAAGGATTAATTTGTTGCAAAAACTCATAGAAAATAGAATAATGATTGTCAAAACTCAAAAAGTTTGATAGCATTATTGTAGATAAACATGTGTAATAAGTTCATTTTTAATTGCAAAGTATAGATTTAACTATTACAAAAAGCATGTCATATGCCATTTGATGTCAAATAAATCAATGTAAAAATGATTAGCAACCTACAAAATTATATCGGATGGCAAATAATATCAACCAAAACATTTTACTAAAATTATGTCAAACCAAACATAAATGCAAAGTTGGTTCCCTTTTTTAATCATATGGAACGTCAATGTGGATTTTGTTGGAAATGTTTTTGTTACTAGGTTAGTTAGGGCTGACAATTCTCGACACGACACGAAATAAATGGGTTTGGGTTGAGTTTTTCAACCCGCCAACCCATTTATTAAACGGGTCATATATGAGTTTCTCAAAAAATAAACGGGTTGACCCGTCAACCCGTTTGTATTTTTAATAAAAATATATATATTTTATTTTTAAATGTATTTATGTATCAAGTATTAATATTTAATATATATAATATATACCATTGATTCATAGACCACTTGAATTATCTATGACTGTATTAATGTTTAGTTTGAATATGTTTGTATTAATGTTTAGTTTGAACATGTTTCTATGAATGTTTTTAATTTTCGTTTTGATGTTTAAGACTTAAGTGTCTAAAATTCGGATATGTTTGCATCAACCATCAAGAATTTGTTCATGTTTAAATGTCAATTTTATTTATAAAATCTGACCCACGAACCCACCAACCTATGAACCCGTATAAATAAATGGGTTGGCGGGTCATATATGGGTTTATGTTCCAAACCCGCTAACCCGTGACCCGCCAACCCGTGACCTGTATATTTAAATGGGTTGTGTTTGGGTTAGCATATTTTGACCCGCCAACCCGCGACACGCCAACCCGAACACGACACGATTGTCAGGCCTAAGGTTAGTTGGTTAAGATTTAAGACAGTTAGTAGTTTTTAAGTATTTAAAAGAGGAATGTTAAAGATGATGATAGTGTATGGGATAAAGAGAATATGTATTATAATCAAATGTATCCCACGTTAATATAGAAAATAAACTTAAAGAGATAAGATGTTTTATAACTAGGAAAATGAGAAAATAGAAATGATACTTTTCATTTTGATGTGGTGCTTGGAAAGGTTAGTACAAATGGACAAATGGTCGAGTCCACATCATAATTTATAGTAGGTCTCGGATTTTATTAATTTTCTAACAAATAAATTTTTAAGTAAAGAAAATATAACATTTTATATTAAGGCTAGAAACGAGCTTGAGTTTAATAAAATTTTATAACTTTCAAACTTGATAGATCTTTCACAGGCCAAGCTCGGGTTTCATATAAAAGGCTCGAAACGAGCCACACTCGAACTTAATTGGGCTTAAGTTAGACTCAGCTCGTTTACACTCCTACCCAAGGGTTACGAAAGAGGTATAAATCCATATAACACCCAATCTAAGAGGGCAATCAACTATAAAACAAAGCACAATAAGAACTCATAAGGATCACATACTTGTTTCAATGACGACACTATAACGATTAGATTTTATTAAATCAACTTTTGGCTTAAGGTTTATTGATATGTCATGTAAGTGAAATTGTTCATATCATATATGATTGGCTAATTTTTCGACCTTTATGAGGCATTCATTTAGCTTCATTAAAAACCATATTCATGATTCACCTCTCTCTCTCTCTCTCTCTCTCTCTCTCTCTCTCTCTCCTCTCTCTCTCTCTCTCTCTCTCTCTCTCTCTCTCTCTCTCTCTCTCATATGTTGGAGGCAATATTTAATGATTTTCATCTGTAGAAACCGCTAAGAACATGGTTTCTAATTTTTTTTAAGAGGTTTTGTCTATTATGATCAATGGTTCTAAGCAGTTTAGAAACACTTGGATCTAGGAATTATTTGATAAACATTTGTAACACTTTAATCAAACTTAAAATGCAAAAGTAATTTCATATTAAGAATGAATTTTACCATGCAACCATGTCAACAAATAGGAGCTCAAACCGATCACAATCATCTTTTTTCAAAATGTGGAAGGCTAAAAAATCTTTTTGGTTGATCTGGTTGGATGGACTCACTCCTAATATCATATGTGTGTTGCTGGTACTTGAGAGATAGATTAGATTGTCAAAATGTTAATTAACATGATATAGGAATTATTTATTGGGCTTGAAATGGTAAAGGTTGTATAAAATGAACAACATTGGATCTAAAAATGGTTGTCTCAAATAAACAACATTGGATAAATCATAAATTAAATAAATAAATAAAATAAAAATTTATGGTGTGAATCTTGAAAGTCCATTTTTAGAATAAAAACTTAGTTCAATATGAACTGAGCCAATGCATGACAAGGAAAATTAAAAAATAAAAAATAAAAAAATAGATGCAAAAAATTATAAAAAAAAATGTTTATGGTGTAAAAATAGTTTTAGGTGTGACTTGTTAGAGATTTTACAAAAATCTATGATATAAAAATGTTGATCTAACAAAAATACCTAATACAAAGTCATTTTGCAAAATAAAATAAAAAATTGTTGTTTGACTTATAAAATTACTCATATTTTATAAAAATCTTAAATTTTTGTTAAGAAAATATATGTACATCTTTTGATGTTTTTTAATCAGAATATTCAAATATATTTTTCATAGAAAGTTTTATATTGTTAGAATACAGTCATTGATAGATTTTACAAAAATATAATATAAAAGTGATAAATCTTTTTTTATACTTGTATATTAAAAGGAAAATTGTTTAAAATGGTAAAGATTATCACAATTTTATAAAACTGTTATTGAAAATATATACACATATTACCCAAATTATAGTTTTTGTACACATATGACAATTAAACTTTATATTTTGTTCAAAGAATGTCATTGCATTATCAGTAAGAGTAAGTCACCTGTCATGTGGCATGTCACATGGTTGCTAACGTGTATTTTACTCTTTAATATGTAGACATTATACCATCAAATTTTTTTGTATATATTTATCATTTATTTTTTTACACACGTTTTACCAATAATCCTTTTACAATTTTCTCACAAAAAAAATATCATTTCAAAAAATACACGTTATAGCATAGATATAACGTATTTTTACATGTATGCTCAAAGTATTTCAATTTATGAATACATGTTTTTACATACATATAAATTACTTTTTTACAATATGTGTGTTTTTGTGTAATCATGGTTGTAGAACTCGCTACTCGGTACCTGTTCGGCCGACTACCGAGTAGCAAGTACTTGGAAATAATCGGGAGTACTCGTGAAGTACTTGGATTCGGTAATTCATGTAGAAATGTTTTTAGGGAAATTATATATGTCAAAATCATAAGTTAAAACCATAAGTTGATTGAAACATATAACAAAATTAGATACATGTGAATACACAATAAATGAAAAACACACAATGGTCTTACTTCGTGAACAATTACTGTCAAAATCAAATGTGTGTCTTACTTCGTGAACAATTACTGAAAAACTTTACAGCACTGTTCGCATCAGTAAGGGACCGATCGAAGAGTACTCGGATTCTGTAACTCACATCGATAAGGGGCCGAGTAGGGAATACTCGGACGAGTAATCGGCCAACTCGACAAGTTTTACAACACTGGTACAAATAGACATATCATTATATCAATACATATTTTTATATTTAAAAAAATCATAATATGGTATAATTTTACATCTGGAAATTAGTCGTGTTTATATATTATTATATTTAAATATTTAAATACATAAATACTTAATTATCAAAACTATGATGGCTTTATACTATATGTTTAACTTCGATTAAAATAATATATAATTGAGCGTTTATGTATTTTTACATTTAAAAATAATAACTTCAATTAAAATAATGGATAATTGAGTATCTATGTTTTTATATGATTTTGATATTTTGTTGTTACCCTTTTAAATTATTTTCCCATATAAAATATTTTATAAGTATGTTATAATATAAACCATTAGCTTGGTTGCTCACCAGGCATGGCTCAGACATCCCATAGGTTGTTAAAATCTTACTTTTTATCTTACGATTTTATGATTTTAAGATCCTACAAGTGAAAAACGATTACGATCTCACCTCTTTAGTTTTATTGTATAGCTAAGTATCAAAAATTCGTTTACTCAACTTCAAATCGAGCGTTACAAGTTGTAAGAAGTCTTCTAGAGCATCATAACTTTTTCAATTCCTCACGAGTTAGGCAGTGCACACCTATTATAATCCCTTTTGTGATCTTATGTCTTACTTGTACATGATCAAAATGATCTTATTTCTAATAGATGTTTGATTCTTAATGTTTACGGATGTAGCAACAAAAATTATGGATAAGGCTTAAAAAGTTAAAATTGATTACATTATCTTGAGAACAAATGTGATTATGAGTTCATTTTTTAGGATCTTACGATCACGATCTTGCAAAACATAAAACGTTTTTAAATAAAATCTCGGTTTTGACAACCTTGCAATAAAGGATACTTTAAACATTGTGAGTTTCAATCAAGAGATGACCAAAAGATGTGTGCCCTTTTTGTAATTATACACATTTCAAAAGTTTCTAATCATTTTTGTCAAAAATTCATATAATAAAAGTTACAACCGTCCAACTAATAACTATTTGTTTAGGGATGTCAACGGGGGCAAACGGGACGGGGATTGCATCCCCCGCCCCCGCCCCCAAAATTCTCTCATTCCCCCGCCCCCGCCCCCGCCCCGCCCCTGAAATCTCCATCCTTTCCACCCCCGCCCCCCGAATTCACCTTCTTACCCCCGCCCCCGCCCCCGTTCCCCCGCCCCCGATTGATTTTGGGCTACCTTATGTGGGTTAAAAAGAAGTTCTTGTTTAGGCTAAAAGAACTATTTTTTAGGTAACAAATAGTTATTTATAGCATAATTTTACATGTTACAAACATCTTAAAAACATGTTTTGGTTGAATTTTAATACGTAAAAATCATTCTATTGTTTATTATATTTATATAATTAATATATGTAATTATATATAATTTATTAACGGGGCCCCCATGGGGGTTTCGGGACGGGACTGCCAACCCCCGCCCTCGCTCCCGTCCCCGCTCAAACGGGACGGGCCCCCACAGAATCGGGGTCCCACGAGACTTTTTGACATTCCTATATTTGTTATCATCTAGTTTTTTTTTGTCTCCGAGTTTATAATAAAGCTTAAAAAGAAAAAAAAAAAAAAAAAAAAAAGAACTCCGCCTGAGCGATCAGCCCTCTATTCCATCACCGGCTGATCCTCTCTTTCTACCCCTATTCCATCTCTCCTCAAAATCTTGACTTAGGGGGTGTTTTGATAGGGAAAAAATGGGTTGTTTATTGCTTATTGCTTAATCCCACCGCAATAAGCAAATTTAAGTGTTTTGATAGGAGTCTTTAAAAATCAGCTTATTGCGGTAGAAATAAGCAAAATAAACTGATTTTAATAAGCAATGGAGGAATGCTTATTGCTTATTGCTTATTGGTTATTTTACTCATATAAGTTGTTTTGTTTGCCAAACACTTAAAATGCTTAATGCTTATTGTTTATTCCCACCGCAATAAGCTAATCCAAACACATTTTAAAAAAATGCTTATTTTCGCCGCAATAAGCAAATAAGCAATAAGCAATAAGCTAATAAGCTAAAAACTATTTATCCAAAACCCTCTTAGTCCAACCACACTCTTCAAATCTAATCTCTTCTTCTTCTTCGTCACATATCGAATAAGGAAAGAGGACTTCGCACGCCATACCGATCCTCTTCATCGTCGCCTTTCTTGTGCTTCTCCTGCAGTTACCTGTGTGAGTCTTTTTCTTCTTGTTCGAGTAACCTAATTTGTTTTGAGTTGTTTCAGACTGTTCTATGGATTCGATCGTGTTTAGAGTAAATGATGATTACTTCAATTTCATATTAGTTTTCAATGTGCTCATTTTAGGGTTTATTGCCTACCAGTTGCATCGTTTGTTTTTGAAAGGCAAGTACTTGTATCGATGCTAAAATATTTCCTTCAAATTAAGTATGCGAAAATGAAATTTGATACGTGTAGACGACATCTAATCAAGGATTTAAAGCAGTTTAGCTAATTGATCTAACGATGCACAAGTAGGAATTCAGATAACCTACATGTGTCCATGGTTGCACTAGCGATTAAATTTGATTAATTCAACTTTTGGCTTAGGGTTTACAATTACACAACAGATGATATCTATTTTGCCTTTAGATCCTGCATGCCTGCAACAACATCATACTTCACATCTTAGAGCATATTGCCCATGATCATTGGTTGGTTGATCCTGAGGCAGGATAAATGTTACTTGTTCCTTTTTTTCTCCATTCCAAATTCACTTTCTATAAAGCTGAGAAATGATTGAATCTATTGATGTGGTAAACTTGCCTCCTAGGATATCTCTATGCTCCCCAATACTACCTCATTGTTAGTTCTAGTTTGGTTCTAGCTAAGGTCAAGGTATAAACTTGCAAAGAGAAAAGAGGAAGGCAAACCAATTTCCTTTTTTTCTATTTCTTTTTCTTAACTTAAAATCTTCTTCTTTTCTATTCTTCTGTGTGAAAACTCACAGAGTGGGAGAAACATCTTGCAAAGAACAAAAGGGATCTATTGAGAAACATCTCACAGAGTGGGAGAATGTCTGATCAAATAGCAAAAGGTCAGGAATTTGAGAAGAAAGCTGACAAGAAGCTCAATGGCTGGGGCTTCTTTGGGTCCAAGTTTGAAGATGCTGGTGATTTATACGAAAAAGCTGCCAATTCTTACAAGCTTGCCAAATCATGTTAGTATTAAATATTAATCCTGAAACATTCATATCATTCTTTCTTACAAAAAAACTTTCATTTATGTATTTTAATCTTTTAAACCGTAATTTTCTTAAAGATGGCTTATTGATAATATTTTCAGGGGACCAAGCTGGATCTGTATATGTCAAGCTGGCTGAGTGTCATCTGAAAGTAAGTTCTTAATAGTTAATTCTATCATCAGTTTTTGAACCCCATAATAATCTTGATTTTGTGTTTTCTTTTTTCTAGATGGATAGCAAACATGAAGCTGCTAGTGCTTATGCTGATGCAGCTCACTCATACAAGAAAACAAGCACCAAGGGTATAAACTAAAAAGATAATGATTTTTAATCCATTATTTTTCCTGGATATATAAAAAATGTTTTCTTTTTTTTCTTGTTATCTTAAATGTCTGCAGAGTGCATAGCTAACCTAGAGCAAGCATTAAACATTTTCATGGAAATTGGAAGACTCAGCATGGCTGCCAGATATTGCAAGGTACATACATCATAGGATTATCATTTATTTCCCAGTTTTTTATTTATTAATTTTAATTTAGTTTTTTATACAATTTGGTTTCACTCTGTAGGAAATTGCCGAGTTATATGAACAGGAGCAAAATTTGGAGAAAGCTATTGCTTACTATGATAAAGCATCTGATCTTTTCCAAGGTGAAGAAGTAACAACTTCTGCAAACCAATGCAAGCAGAAAATCGCACAATTTTCTGCTCAATTGGAACAGTAAGTTTCATATATATATGAATTAGGGATTAAAATCATGAGTAATAATACCCTGAAAATGTGTTGTTTCAGATATCAGAAAGCTATAGAGATATATGAAGAGATAGCAAAACAGTCTCTGAATAATAACTTGCTAAAATATGGAGTGAGAGGGCATTTATTAAATGCTGGGATTTGCCAACTCTGTAAAGATGATGTTGTTGCAATCACAAATGCTTTGGATCGTTATCAGGAACTTGATCCCACATTTTCAGGAACACGTGAATGCAAATTGCTTGCAGTATGTTTTATTAAATCCCCCCCTTTTTTTTAATGTTTTTTTATATTAAATCCCAATCCCATCAGTTTATATTTATATATATTTTTTCTTAATGACAGGATTTAGCTGCAGCTGTGGATGAAGAAGATGTTGAAAAGTTCACTGATGCTGTGAAGGAATTTGACAGCATGACTAAGCTGGTAATACAAAAATGTTCCTAACTTTTGTCATACTGACAAATGCATGTCAAACACAGTACAAATTTGTTGTAGTGTTGTAACAAAAGGGGTCTCTAATGTTGTTGGTTGGTATTTTTTTATATAGGATGAGTGGAAGACAACACTTTTGTTGAGAGTGAAATTGTTGTTGAAGGCAAAAGAGGAGGAGGATGATGATGATCTTACTTGAGAGTTCAGAATTTGATTTGTTCTTTTTGTGGTGATGTTTTTCACTTTTTCTTTCTCATGGTGGTTTTTAATTGTGCGTGTTATTATTCTCTATAAAGTGTATGTAATTGTAACTCCATTTGAGGGACTATATCTGCATTGTGGTATGCTTTTCTAACAATCATCTACAACCGAACGTTTAGATATATTTTTGTGATTTCATGAGTGTGTTCTGAGAAGTTGTAGATTTTCTATAATAACATGAACCATTGCTGCCCTTGATTGTAGTTAGAGAGATGGATGAAACAGTCTGAATAGATCTCGAAACGGGTTCTAAAATGGATTGGACTGATTAATAATCCATGATCAAGGACTGGTTTAGGATAGACATGGATTAGACCTAAACCCATTAAAATTTGTAACCCATTTAAAACTGTACTGAAGTCAAATTCTAAACAAGTTAAAAAATTAAAATACGTTTTTCACTCAAGTCAGAGCTACATCTTAAACTGGACAGGTTCTAAACTAGTTTTTCATTAATTTATAATAGAATCTTTTAACATGATACATATTTAGACGATAACTTATTTATAGATGCAAAAACTGGTTTCATATAATGCTAAATGGTATGAGTTTGTTAAGAACGCACCCAAGAAATGGGATTAAAAACCAATCCGTCATGCTTATACGTTGTTTCATTGAGTCGGCTCGATGCTCCGTGTTTCTCATGTGTACAGATAGCGTAATTGTTTAATGAGGTTGCGTATCAATCTATTATGTGTCACGTAATCCTCTAGTATGCGCCGCGTACTAGACATAAAATCATATTCAATCTTTACACCGTATTCTCTTCATGAGTATGTTCTCTCACACACATTGAAATAAGATTTGCATTTAATCCCTCTTACTTGTCCTATAGACAAACTATACCATTCATAATAGACAAAATGGCCATAATGGTCCCTGTGGTTAGGTGGAAATTGCCACTTTGGGCCAAAAAGGTTTGGACTAACACTCATGGTCCAAAGGTTTTCATTTTCTTGACACTTTGGTCCAATTTATTTTAAACTTTTTTGTAATGACGATTTTGCATTTTATTTTTGTTTTTTCAGTTTTTATTTATTTAAATACTTTTATAATTAAAAGAAAATTCCTCTCTCTCTCTCTCTCTCACATAAGCTCTGATTCATATCTTCTCATAAAACCCTAGATCTACAGTTGTCACTACAACCGTTGCTTTCCACCAACTATCAGTTTCCTGACCCCGTAGCACCATCAAAACTACCGCCGGACCTCCACCTCCACAACCACCACTACTACACTACTATCAGGTTTCTCAGCATCTCGATTTTTGTCCCTCTTTAGAGAATATTTAATCTGAAACCGCCACCATCTCTTTCACGACCAAAATTCAGATCCACAACTACCGTCTTTCTCTCATATTTAGAGACTCCTTACCATCACTCGACTAAGATAAAGTTCGAGGTCACCGAAGCACAACAAAACTCTAGGGTCGTCGCCATCTTCAGATCTGTAAAGACGAAGCTCCGGTTTGCAGCGGCTCAACCATCGTCATCGTCGAGTTGTAGATCGGAGCGATGGTGGTTTCAAGTTGCTAGGGTTTGTAGCGGCGCTGGATCTGGAATGTTGACGAATCTATGGATTTGTTGAGAGAAAAACTTTTGAGACACACTTGAACAAACGTTAGAACAAGTTGTATATTACGGAATAAGTTAATCTCAAATGATCATAAAGCTCAACAATAATTAGAAGTTAGAGTTGTTAGATTGTTAGGTGCGGAAATGTAATTGCTGAAAAGTAAGGAAATGTAAATGACAGCAAGTTGTATATCAAGTAAACACTAAGTTGATCCGTGACAAGGTTTGCAATCAAACACAAGTCAGTAAGAGTGATCAGCTAAAGTGAAGAAGTCTCAAGGACTTGATCTGAAGGAGAGTTCGAGAGTTTAGATCTTAATAAGTGAATATAAGTTCAGATAGATCTTTTAGAGAGAATATAAGATATGAAAGATAAGAGATGAGTAAAAGAGAGATGTAAGATCTGTATTCAATCAGAACATGAGAGCTCTATATATAGAGTCTCGAGGATTACAAGAAAATAAACAAAGTCTAAATCCTTCTTAAGTGGCCATGCAAGGCATACTGGATAAAACAATGTAAAGTGAAAAGATAACAGATAAAACTAAGTCTATGTTTGATGAAGACAACTGCGGATGCGGTCGGTGATTGCGGTTGAGAAGCTGAATGCGGATCAGGAGATGGCTTCGGATTGACTAAATTGAAGAGGGTCACTTTCTTGCTTCAACAATTTCCCCCTAAGTGACCTCTTCAACTTTTCTTTCATCTATTGAGCTTTAGGAATCTGATGAGAAGCCACCAGAACTTCCTGAATTCTCCAAGCCAAACAATTCTCCAAGAGATTTCAAACTTCACTTCATCAGTAGTGTGTTTTGATTTCTGGACTGCGGTTTGAGTGATCTCCAGCTGCTTCCGGGTCAAGCGATGCATGGCAGTCATTGGAATGAAAATTTTTGTTTCATTATCTTTACGCTTGAAAATGACTCCAAGATCTGGGAAGTTAGTTGCTCCAAGGGATCTTTCTTGATAACCTTCAGTAAGCACCGGAGCTGGATCAAGAGGAGGAAGGTTGAACTTCTGAGCAAGAGTTGGGTGGATATTCGCATCGATTTTAGCAAAATCACATACTGTTTCTTTCAGATACATACAAGCCCTTTCATAAGTAATCTTCATCTTCGGATATTTCTCAGACTTAATCTGAAACACCCTAGCAATCAGGAAGACTTCCTCCGGATTCATGCAAGGAAAGTCTGCTTGGGTTCGGATATAGTCTTGATTTCTTCTTGTGAGAGTATATTGAATGAAGTCTGATTTCATAAACTTTTTGGGCTTATAGTTCTTGACTGCGGTAGGTTTGTCGTTTGACCAGATGCTTTCGATTTTAGATCCATGCTTGGCATGAAATCTGTTAATTCTTTCAAATTCAAGGGGCAACCTCTGATCATCAGGGAGGCTGCGGTCGAATGGTTCAAAGACGACGAAGAACTTTGCATTGGGGGAGATAGGAATGTCCCAATAGCCGTCAGAGGGAGGTTCCGCAAAAGTGAGAAAATGTTTGTAGTCTTCATCTAGTAATCTTCTGGTAGGATTGATCCAAGAGTTGACTAGGGTCTCATCCATAGTGATGTCAAAACCGTGTTCCCTCCAAATCAACTCTGCGAACTTTGTTGATTTCCAGTCAGATTTTCTTTGCTTGGATGCGGGGGAGTCGTTGGAGTTTTCGGATGACATGGTTGGAGCTAAGTCTTTGAAGTACGTGGGAGTCTCCGGTCGCGGGGAAGATTGATGTTGAACTTCTTGAACTTGTTGTTGCGGCGGAGACTGATGGGGAGAATGAACTGGACTTTGATGAGGAGAAGGCACGGGAGTCTTCTTTTGAGGTGATGGTTGCGGAGTGAGAACTTTTTGTTGGATGATGGGTTGTTGAGTGATTGGTTGTTGGTGACTTGGGCCGACTCAGATGGGAGAGTGCAAATGTTGATGCTGATGAGAGTGTTGATGAGATATGCGATCCGAGTCACGGTCTTCACTTCCCCCTTTTGTTGTTGTTCCTCAAACCATTGTTTAAGACCGTCGATTTTCGAAAAGACGTCGTTAAACTGTGACTTGAGAACGTCACTTAACTGCTGATTGTTGGGGATTGCGGTGTTGAAGAGAAGGTTGTGGATCTCCTTGGTGAGTTTCAGAATCTCCTGGCCATGAAAGTTGGTGGATAAGGAACGCCTTAAGCTGTTGATTGTAGATTGCAGGATCGCAATTGTGGACTCGTAAGCATTGTGAGTTTCCTCAACAAGCTTCTTGGAATGAACAGCTTGACCCGCAATTGTTGATTGAAGTTCAGCTTTGATTGCGGATACTTCATTGATGAGACGTTCAGCAGTGACCATGAACTCTTGATGATCAGCTTTTCTGTTAGTATCCAGGGCTCGGATACCTATTTCCACCTTGAGAGAAATTCTCTCAGCCGCCAGTCTTTCCCGTGCTTCTAAATGTTCTACTCTTTCCACTAGTGATTGCGGTCCGGGCAGATCGTCAGACTGCGGTTGGCTGGACTTCACTGCAGCCAATATCTGATCAACTTTGTCTTGGAGGCTGAGGAATTATTTTCTTGTTACAGCCAGTTTCTTCTTCTTCTTTTTCTCCTTGGGGTTAGAAGTTGAATGTTGGGGTCCACTGGATTCTTCTTCTTCGTCAAATACCATCATAAAATCATCTGATTTCTCCGGTTGGTTTACTTCATTTACATCGAAGTCATCAAAAACAAAAGTTGGTCCGGAGCTGATTTCGATTGCGGTTCTGTCATCATTGGATTCAAGGACATTAGAAGTTGTAGAGGGCTTGGACGGACCTGCACCACCATGAATGTTTTGAGCATTGCGGATGGTTTCAACCATATCAGTCATCCAGTCTTGAACCTTCAGGATGGTAGCAACTGTGTTGGCATTGTTTATTGCATCTGTCCAGTACTTGGCAACCGTTTGAATTTCCTTTTCCTTCTGTTGTGGTTGCTTTGTCCGTTGATCCTTACGTGCCTGAAAAGCCCTACGAAAAGCCTCATATTTTCTGATACCGGACTCGGTAGTGGGACGTTCCCGAGTCCAAGTATCGTCAGAATTGTAACCGTCAAGTCCTTGATTTCGCACCGGGGTGTCCCCCGGGTTCGTGGATCCTTGCACATTGGTGCTCACCACGCCTAAACCACCTGATTGTAAGGTAAGCAGAGTAGGATTTCCCGAGCTTCCTTGGTCTCCTTGACCCGTAGTCAAGTGTGGCCTCGACTCAGTTCTGGAAAGGGATGAAGAATTGTCCTGCTGTTGGGAAGGTGTATCAAGTGTTTGTGTAACGACAAGAAGGATGGAGCACAACTCCTGTTCATCAAAGAAATGGAGGTGGGAAGCCCTGGAGACCTTAGGGCGTTTAGAACCAACTAGATCCTCTTGGGATTCAATTGGGGTTGAGTCTCCATTATCTGATGAAACAGACACACTTGTTGTGTCTGAGTAGCTGGAGAGGGATGAAGCGAGTCGGTCTGCGGGGACCACAAGGACTACCGGAGTCTTTTAAGAGACTGAGGTATCTGTCCGGTCATGCATATGACTAGGACTTGGGTTGGTCTTCCTTCTTTTAA